TCAGTTATAGACTATAAGTTGATGACTCCCAGATCCATACTTCTAGTCCCGATATTATTCCCCAGACCCCCATACCCAGCTCTTTACTGGATGGCTACTTCTGGCCCACAGGCACCTGAAACCCAGCATGTCCCCAAACTGATATGGTGATTTTTGCTTTTCAAGTCCTCTACTCATTCTTAGCTCCCTCAGTGAGCGATGCTAACTCCTTCCCTGTTGTTGCCTATGCCAAAAATTTGGGTATTATTCTTGATTCATCTCTTTGTATGACTCACATCTAATTATCCTCAAATTCTGTCAGTTTGACATCTGTAATATATCTTCAGTCTGTCCATTATTTTCCCTACAAGAACAGGAAGTAGAAGTAAGGTGCTGAGGTTACTGCCAGGACAGGGGGGCTGTATTAGAATTTAAGATTCCAGAGATATTTCTATTCCAAATGATTAAAGTGAGTTTTTATGCAGTGGCTGGAGATTAGTGGATATGTTAGTCCATTTGGGGTACTATAATAAAATATCATAGACCGGGTTGCTTAAACAATATATGTGAATTTCTCAAAGTTTTGGAACCTGGGAAGTCCAAGATGAAGGTGCCAGCAGATTCCATGCCTTGGCGAAGGCCTGCTTCCTGGTTTATAGGTGGTTTATAGGCATCTTCTTGGGGTAAAAGAGCTCTCTGGGGTCTCATTTATAATGGCAGTAATCCCATTCAGGAGTGTTTCACCTTCATGGTCTCATTACCTCCCACCTCCTAATACCAACGCATTGGGGTTTAGAATTTCAACATATGAATTTTTGGGAGATGTAAATATTCAGTCCATAATAGTGAGTAAGGTATGATCTAGTGAGGTCACAGGATTGGCAAGGTGAGGTGCATATTTCTTTTGGCCCAACATATGAGTCTTTTTCCTATGTATGGGGGAATTCTCACCTTTTAATTCAAAACAGTTGAAAACGCCAGATACTCACCTTGTTAGCTTCACTTGCAGCTAAGACATGCATGGGACCCAGGTGCCACCAACTAGTTGTAACCACCTGCACTTTGAATCTAGAGTCATAGTAGCAGAAATAGCATATGATGTGGCAAGATCATGAGCCTAACACAGAGATGATATTGATGATAGTGTTTGCAGACAGATTCAATTCTGGTGCAGAAAAGGCAGCAGGATAAAGAGTAACGTCTAGTAGATTGATGGTCCTTGCTAGACCAGTTCTGTGGTGTGCTTTTGGACAGTGGTGCTAGCTGCTCTCCCAATGAGTCCAGAAATGTGTCAGGCATTCTTTCAGCTGCAATGACAGAAAACACAACTAGTAGTGACTTAAGCCACTGGGGATTTTTCCACCCATAAAATAAAAAGTCTGGGGTTAAGTAGCTACTGACAATTGTTCCAAAAGGTTGATGGTATCAAGGCTCTCTGATGGCTTCTTGCTCTTTCCCTTCAACTGCAATCTCTGTTCAAGACTGGAGGAAGGGGAGACAGGTCAGGACCGGTTATATCTTTCTGTTTTACCAGGGGAGCCAAAGCTTTCCTGGAAGCCCTAGCAGACTTAAGCTTCCATCTTGTTGGCCAGAGCTGAGTAATATGGCCTACTAGCTACATGGAAAGGGGGGAAATGAATATTTAGTGAGTATTTGGAGTGTCCGACCTCTATCACCGAAGAGGGCAATGAAGAAATAAGTTGAGAAAGGAACAGCCAGTCTACACTGTCTACCAGAGTGAGCTACCTAGTGTCCTTAAAATAAACCCTTTTTTATCCTTAGTGTTGCTTCAATCAACCAGGGTCAGTCTCTTGTTTTCCACAGAGAGCCCTGTATAGTAATCCAAAGCTTGGCATCTAACAAAATCAAAGATGAAATGAGACAGGAATTAAAGATAATTCTAAAAGCTTAGTTGACTTAGAGAATGGTGCCTCTATTGATTGAAATAAGGAAAACACTTACTAAGGAATGAATGGTTTATAGTGTTACATTATTTACTTCATCCTCTGCTTTTAAAAAGGGAAATGTGTTAATATAGTTGAATCTCTAATTGGTAATATGTATGGCAAAGATATTTTTGAACTGGGAGGAACTCACTTTGCTTGTTTCAGGTCCATAGTCATCTCTTCCACCTTCTGGCTAGCTTTTCCTGAGACATCTGTAGGCCACTTTGAATTTTCACTATTATTATGGTTGCTTTGAGAAGGGGGCTCCAGCTTGTGTGTGCATAGGCCTTATTCCATAAATGAAAGAATTAATTGTTCATTAAGGCAGTAAATGAAGCTGATTAAGTAGTAATTTAGTGAATCAATTACAATATAAGTTCATAAAAATGCAACTCTTAGTTATTGATTTCCCTTTTATTACTTTTTTCTTTGGGGCAAAATTTATTGAAAATAAGCAGTAAGAAAACTCTGTGTCGGGTTCAACTAGCAAATGCCACTGTCTGTCTACACACTGCCAGGTACTGTTTTCTACCTTGGGGCCTTTGCACATGTGCCCTCTGTGCCTGGCTAACTTCTGCTCCTCCTTTAAGACACTGGTTTGTGCCGCCTCCTCCAGAAAGCCTTCCTTGACTCCCTAAGTTTAGATAGCCCTCCTTCAGAGGGAAGGCCCCTTGTTTTATTTATTTCTTTATTCTGTGTACCTAGAACAGAGCCAGGCACATTTTAGTTTCTCAATGCCTGCTTGTTGAATGAAAGAATGAAGCTGTATCAGAGAACTTACAGCTAGTTGGATATTGGTCTTGATCAATGGAAGGAGGAGAGTGCATACTGAAGGAAGGAAGGAGGGAAGAAAGAAGGAAAGAAAGGAAAGAAAGGAAAGAGCTTTAAGCCATTTCTATAGTATGAGAGGGCCAGGGAGGGGGAGTGAGGAGAGATGGAAGCGCAGACAATTTCTCCATCCAGCTCATATTGTCTTTGATATAGACATATTGGGGGCTTTACCTGGCAGCTGTGTTGGAATTTTTCTTTTCTTTGCTTATCTACAGCTCCAGAACTTTTCTTGCCTCCTTGATATCCCCTCCAATTAATCAAATCCTTGGAAGCCTTACTCCCCCAGCATGACAGAGACTCCCAAACCATGATTCCAACTCCCATACCCTAGTGGGGAAGCTCTTACTTTCTCTCTCTTCAACTTTAACAGCTCTGCGAGGAAGCTATGTTGATGGTATCTCTCTCCGCTCTTTAATCTTCTAGGTTGTCAGGCCAAGGAAGTAGTTGAATCTATTCTATATACCTTATGTTTCCATGTCTCTTCAGAAGCAAAAAGGCTGTTTAGTAGTTTAGAGCCACAGACCTGCTTTATGATTAAGCTTGCTCATCCAGTGCATTCAAATACTTAGGACCTTGGAGGGCAATAGTCATTCACCACTACAGATCATTGAAACATATTGCAAGAAATCTCATTCTTCCAGGCTCATGAGAGATTCTGAGCTTCTTCCTCTTCTCTAACTAAGATCCTTTCCCTTCCCACTGACCTGGCCCCAACCTTATCCATTGTCAATTGCCTTTTCTATGTCGGCTTGCACAGGGACTCCGAAGCATTTCAGCTTTCCTGATACATCCTTTCCTGGCTTGAATGAACTGCCCTTTTTTGCAGATTTATTTTGATGCTTGAGATGATTGTCCACACTGTGATTTTTAAATTTGAAAAATTCTCTTCTGTTCTTAGGAGTAAAGTGGTATTTGGAAATCTGACAAATAAATAGACTCAAGTTTCCTCTTCCTATCAGAAGAAGGAGGGAGAAATTTCTTCCTTCTCATGTTTCTATAATTTTTTTGTGCAAAAAGGAAGTCAAGGCTTTACTTCTTCTGCCTGCTACCCTCTTCCCTGTTTGGTGAGGGCAGTTAGCTAGTGATTCGTGGCCGAACAAGGACTGCCCCACTGTTGAGAAAATTAAGGTCAAACTCAACCTTCCAATTTTAGAATCAAGTGGCTTTTAAATTTCAAAAGATATATGCCATTTATTTCAAGAGTGATGTGTTATTTAGTACTTGGCCTAAACTGGGCCAACCTATTGGAGCATTTTGTGATAATCGTGCTACATGGGGCACCAGAATTGCTGCTGGATCTTGTTAAAATGGCTGCTTGTTTCTCCTTGGGGATTGTGAAAATATAAAAAGAAAATCATCATAGCTAGGAAAATGTGCTTTATTATTCAGAAAGCACTGCTGTTAGCTTCTGTGGGAGTGTTTCCCAGGGAGTCTCAATTATTGATGGCTAAATTCTCATTACTTAATGGAAGTTGAAATTTAAAGGGAAACAAGAGGGAACTTTCCTTGCTAATTGGTAATACACATTGTCTTACCCACATCCATAGAAGAGGATACTCGCTTGGGAGAAAAGAGAGATCAGAGAGAATGGAAAGAGACAAAGGAAAGGGGAGGCAGGAGAGGAGAGTATGAGTGGACTTCATGTCTGGAATCCTGAGAGATCGCTCCTAGTTGTAGTTAGAATTTAACACTACTTGTCTCTTCCATGTATGAGTATATAACAGGGAGAAAAATCATTGTGGAAAAAGTCACTGTTGTCCTTCTATAAGGTTGCTTCTGTTTATAGGAGCGCCCCCTTTGTTCTTCTGGACTCCTTGATAAGCTTGAACATGAAAAGGTAGCTTAAGAACTGAGTTTGAGGGCAGGAGTTGAAGAACACTGCTTTGTATTCCATAATATATTGAGGAGATTTTAGAGTTGGGAATGTGGAGTAAGGATCTTGGAGAGACAAAGTGTGGAAGAGAGTGGAATTGGAAGGAGAGCAAGGCAAGTCCTTGTGATGACCTGGGCTGGGGAGTTTCATAGGTTGAAGTGGACGTTGTCAAACCCCAGAGGTGGGCTATCCAAAGGTCATTTAGAACAAAGATGTCTAATGCTTAATTTGGACTTGTTTGTATTATTGTGACATAAACTCCCTTTCCCAGAGAATTCTTTGAATAAGTCAGCTTTTGCTAGAATAATGTTATACAACAAAACCCCCCAAATCTCAGTGGCTTACAAAACAAACATTTACTTTTTATTTAGGGGTCTGTGGGGTTGGCTGTGATAGCTGTGCTCCAGGCTGCAGGTCAAGTTCAGATCTGTTCCTGTGGCTTTCCTTTTGGGGGCCAGGAACCTTCAGCCTTCAGGAAAGCCATCATATATGTGCACTGCCTTGAGGTAGGGTTTTTATTTGTTTGTTTGTTTACTTATTTACTTATTCATAAAGTAAGGGAAAGCGATACATTGTAAATCAGGTTGCCACAGTGTGGATCAGAATAATAGAACACAGGGAGATCATCAATGAAGATCATTAATTAGGAGTAGGACCCAAAGCCAGGTGACCATGAATATGGAAGTTCCCCCACATCCACCCTATAATTTTTAGAAATCTTGTACATGGAAGGGAGTTGGTGTTTCACAATCCATGCACTTAGCATTCACATTAATCTTTTTTTTTTTAAGGGGCAAGAGACCCTAGCTTACATCTGTGCTACCTGTGAGCTTTGAGACCAGTAAAATGTTTACTCTGACCCTGCCTCTAGAAAACTAATCCTTCTTAAGCCCATCTCATTTTATGCAATCATTTTTTTTCCAAATAAAAATCACCTGATTGGCTTTCAGAGAATCACTCCTACTTAAGCCCTTAGATGAGTCAATTTTCTATCCAGCCTATTAATGTCACCTCTGCCTCCATAAAGATATCTGGCCAAGAAAAGGGAGAGACTTTTTTGTTAAGGGCTGTGAAGCATTGAATCTGAAAGTTCAGCTCCTATTTTTTCCTGTGTCTTGTACAGGCTCCACCAGGGGACTCAAAAACAAAAACAAAGCAAAAACTCAAAACTCATTGTAAGTCTCCGCTTTTCACCAGCTTTTTGCTGCCTCCTAAGCTCAAAATGGTTCTTTTTTCGATTTGAAGATTTGCAAGCTGTCAGTTTTTAATAAGTATACCATCCATACAGTCATTTTTAGACACGTCACCCACCCTAGTCATTTTTCTTCCCCAAATGGAAGCTTATTTTGTTTGATTTCGTTTTTCTTTTTGCAGAAGAATCGTTTGCCTGAACTGATAAAGAAGAAAAAGCCAATATTCTTTTGCTTCATGGTGAGGCAGAGAGGAAGAGTGAGTAAAGTATATTTTTAAATGAAGGAAAGATGAGATTAAAGGAAATAGATCAATCCATTGAGTTGTCTGATCACTTCCAACCCCCGACCCTCAACCCCGCTGGTCTCTCTGCAAAGCTCAGCTCTGCATGGCCTCCCTATTGTTCCCATGTTCTCTTTTCACTGCAACTTTTCTCATGGAGAGAAGGGGATCAGGACAGCAATTTCAGTCATTTTCCTCATTATTGTCCCATTTTCCCTTGGGTGCTCCTTCTGGGGCTGACTTCTCATAACACGAATGGGCTTCTTTCCTCCTTTCTGCTGTTGATCTTTCAAAGGACAGTTGTGAGTTGAAGAAATATGGTACAAGTTTCTGGTTGGTTAGAATTAAATTAACTAGCTGAGAAAATTACTACCAGCAACCAGTTAGATTTTAAATCTGAGGGTTCCTTATTCATACAAACATAAAATTTTAGAGCCACAAAATATTTAGAGATTGTCTCTTCCAACTACCTTGTTTTATAGATGGAGTTCCAGAGGAGCTGAAGGCTTTTCCAAGGTCAGACAACTTGTTATCCGTAGTATTGGGCCTAGAGCCCAGTTGTCTTAATTCTATTCTTTCCATTACGTTTGATTTAACTCCAGAATCTAGATTACAACGAGAGGCACAGACACATGAACGTTAATCATTAACCTCTAAAGTGGCAGATTGAGTTTTAATAGAGAGATGGCTAAAATTCTCGGTAGGGATAATAAAGGGCAGTTGGGACAGAATAAAACTGCTCAAGAATAAAACAGCTTCCAAGCTTCTTGCTTTGAGTGGAAATATATCTAACAAGAAAGTTTATTCCAAGGCATGCAAATTTAAAGAAAAAGGATTTGACAGAAAAGCAGGGAATGATTGCAAAGCTAACCTGGAAAATTTTTCCCAGTGTCGTTCTGGGAGACTCCAGAACAAAGAAACACAAAGACACTAACAAAGGGAGGAGGCATTGGAAAGGGATCAATGTTTTACACTTAAAATTTATCCTTTCTTCCAGGTGTATAAATATGATTTTGGAGGTGGAAATTTCTTAGAAAAACAACACAAGCTCTTTATTCCTATAACGACAATGCTGATCTTCAGATAGGCCACGGTACCTTGCAGATATTTTTGAGTTATTTAATCGCTTCTTCCTTGCCAGTGTAACCATGTGCCCTCTAGGACCAGTTGAACTGACCCCATCTCTTATCAACAGAGAGATTAAGAACTGCCTTTCAGAAAATTTGCAAAGTCATGTAGCTAGAGCATGCGCAGAAGAAGAACTCTTGACCTGAAATGACGCAGAACCAAAGATTCCCCTCCCCATAGAACTGGAGAACCAAGACTTGACCAGAACTTAAAAGTTGGACTCTCATCAGAAGCCAGGGGTCCATCATTCAGTAAGATCTGGTGTTAAAATTCCTTCCCTACCTTACCATAGAAGTTTAGAACCTCATCATAAATGTTTAGAACCTCATCAAAAATGTTTAGAACCTCATCATAAATGTTTAGAACCCTGTCATAAATGTTTAAAATTTTACCCTAAATGTTTGGAGTCCACCAATCGAAACCTGTCCCGCCAGCATTTCTGTGTGTCAACCTGTTCTCCCTAACCTCTTAAATTTCACCCCAAATCCTGAATCAGGGAGGGCACATGCCCCCTGTCTCCCTGCAGATCCATCTCGCAGAATAAAACTGATCTCTTTTGCCAAAGGCTAATGTTGTAATTAATTGGCTTGTTTATATGCATTGGGCAAGAGAACCTCAATTTTGTGTGGTAACATAGGTCCCCCTGAGTAGCTCAGATTGCATAGATTTTTTTATTTTTTTCCCATATTCCTTTCTCACTGCAATGTTTTGTTATGGTGAGAAAGGGCTGAGAAAGGAGATTTGTCATTTTCCTCACAGCTTCCTTGGAAAGTAGGGGTGGTGGTTGAGAAACAACAGTTGTGGGTAAGGGTGGTGGAGCAGTAGTGGGGAGTCATGGAAATGCTGATTATTTGGAGCTTAATTTTCTCCCAAAAGGATAAATATGGGGCCCCCCAAATTGAGGAAATTACTTAAAGTTGGGTGGTTAAATTGATCGAAGGGAGGGAGGTAGCATTAGTAGTCACAGATAAATCTGGAGATAGAGGCAGGGGTTCAGGTTCTAGAAGTTTTGGAGAAAATGCGCCCCTTTTTACTGTTTGTTTTTTTTCCAGGACCCAGAGCATAAGGTGCCCAAGTAGAGAACTTCCCTGGAGGCTCCCTCCTTCCATCACCAACCCTCTCCCTTCCCTCCAGCCTAACCTCCTCCCTCTCTTGCTTTCTTCTTTCCTTCAGCCCTTCATTGAATCCTTCTTCTTTTATCTCTGAGATTGTTGAGTGTGTGTTGTAATTTTATAGCCCTTTTGATTTTATTTTAAATAGTATTTAAACATTTTTAAAAATTAAAAGTATTTTAAAAACTTTACTGAGCACATTTCTAAGGTCTTTCTATACATTTAACCGTTATCACAAAACTACTGGTTACTGTTCTTTTCTCCATTTTACAGATGAGGAAATGGAGGTTAGCAAGGTTAAATAACTTATTTATGTTATTTCTGTCAAAGAGGCAGAAACTGGAAGAGCTGAGACTTGAACACATGCTTTTCTGACTTGAGAGCCTGTTTTCAAGACTTTGTTATACTCTCAGCAGCTGTCCCTTCCCTCTCCATCCTCCACCTGATACTCTCTCCAAAATTCCTGGAATTCAAGTCTCTGCCCCCTGTATGATTTTCACATTTAGCATCAAAGTTTCTAGCAAAGAATCACACTGTTGGAGTGTATTTATCTCTGACAATAAAGGTGGAGCTGCCCTTGTGGTGCTGTCTGTGTGTTAAGGATTTGCAGTGCAAAGGAAGAGATGCCTTGGTCAGCTGCCGTGTGAGGTTCTGGAAGGTGTCTTGGAGGAAAACATGAATTTATTCAATTGATTCCACAGACTGGTATTGTTGGCAAGTTGGTAGCTTTCAGAAAACAAAGGACTCGACTTGAAAAGAAAACCATCCAGACAGTCCTCCCCATTCTTTCTTCCAAGGGCTTGTTAAGTGAGTTTTGTTTCAAATTCTTTGTTTTTTAAATGGAGATGACTTGAAGTGTCAAGGGGTCCTGGATCAACAGCTCTGATGGCAGCTCAGTCTTCTGTTAATTCTCAGCAAGAGAATAAAAATACTTTAAGAATTTAATTCCCCCCACCCCCTCCTCTCTGCCCATCCCCCTCCCACTCCTTCCTCCCTGCCCAGCCTCACCATCTGAATGGTTTTGCCCTAGTTGTGCAGAGCACGAGAGACTTGCAGGCAGCCATGAAGTGTCTCATTTAGTGAAAGCTCTGCTTGTTTGGCAAAGTGGTTCTTTTCTCTTTGACAGTCTTTCTCTAGAAAGACTCTAGAAAATAGAAGCACACGAAGACAGGAAGACACTCTTCTGCTCCCTCAGTGATCATTTTCTGTACCTTTGGGCTGTTGTTGTGGTTCTGCCTACGAGTCCCCCCAGCATGCCACAAGTCCTGTGTTTGAACTCCAGACCCCTGGAATCCTCACCCTTACAGATGCAGGAGTTTGCTTGGTCAGTCCTGAAGCGTTTTGGAAGCAGAGATCATGAGGGCTATTGCAGTGGTTGATATAAAGGAAAGAAAATAGAGAAGAAACCCATCAAGTTTAATTTTATTCCAGACTTTAGATGGAATTCCACTACTGAATTCCAGAGGTTAGAAGAGTAGAGCTAGCTCCCATGCCTGCTGATCTTTCTGGAGAGAATATTAATTAGGATAGTGATGTGAAAATGACCACCGTGCTATTTGCCTGGTTTGAGCTGGAATATACTTAATGATAATAAACACTATTTATTGAGTACCTACTCTTTGTTAGGCTCAAAAATATTATTTCTCTGAATCTTCACAAGAATTCTATCAGGTAAGTAACCTTTTACCCATTTTAATGTATAAGGAAACTGAGGCTCAGAGTGGTTGGAGAATTTTCCCAAAATCATATAGCAAGCACTAGGACTCAAAAGCCCATGAATGCTCTTTTAATTTGATTCACTATTTTATTAGTCAGGCTTCTCTGGAGAAACAGAGACAATAAGATATTTATTTGTTTACTAATTATAAAGAATTAGCTCACACGATTATGGAGCTGAGAACACCCACAATCTACCATCTGCAAGCTGGAGACCCAGGAAAGCCAGTGGTATAGTTCCAGTCTGAGTCTGAGGCCTGAGAACAAGGGAGTTGATGCTGCTACGTCCCAGTTCAAGGGCAGGAGAAGACCAATGTTCCAGCTCAAGTAGTCAGTCAGAGAAAGAGAGAGAGAGAGAGAGAGAGAGAATTTCCCTTCCTCCACCTTTTTGTTTTGTTCACATCCTAAATGGATCGGACGATGCCCATCTATATTGGGGAGGGCAATCTGCTTTACTGAGTCTGCCAATTCAAATGCTAATCTTTTCCGGAGACACCGTCATAGAAATACCCAGAAATGATGTGTAGCCAAATATCTAGGCACTCTATGGTCCAGACAAGTTGACACATAAAATTAACCATCACAACTGTATATATCGTGCATAACAATAGTATTTTCTCTCCTTTGGGAACAGCTGTAACCTGTGGAATATGAAAATATGTTGGACTTTGGCAGAAGTGTGAAATAACCAAGAGCTCAACATTAAACTACTTGGATAACCAGCTCTGGAATACCAAGAAAGGGATGGGATAAAAAATCTTTTGCAAGAAGTCATTAAGAGTCTTTGGAAGAAGTAATTTTGGTATTCACAGATGACATTTACTTTGGAGATAGATACTCAAAAGCCGTAAGCATGAAGGATCCAGAATTTATCAAATAGACTGGAATAAAGAAAATGAAATGCATCTTCAATATCAGTGGTCAAGAGAAGGCTGGAGAGCACCAATTACAACAAAATTTGGGAGTGGGTGGTGGTAAGGGAATAGGAAGAAATTTTCAAGAGCCTGAATTGCTACAGCAGATCAAACCTGAGGTCTTAGAGTTTAGGGCTGTATTTCTGACGGTGGTACCAAAGATGCATAATGACAGGGATGTTGGTTTT